CCTCTACAGCTTATCAGGTTACAGTATGCTGTAAACTGTTACACTCACCCACTTGTGTTCCAGAATCGTGTTGTAATTCTTCTAAGAGTACATTTGAATAGGTCTAATTTAGTTGTGCTTATTACAAACAGCTTTTCGTGATCTTGTTGTTGAATCGCTAAAGCTTTCCTTGTAGATTTTCTAGAAGTAATTATGAAAAACAGGTTTGTGACTGCATCTACGGGCTTACTTAATCTGAGCTTTTGCTTTTGTTGTTAATGCGTGTACACCATTGTTTTTTCTTTTCAGCCTTCATGTGCTTTCATGTTACTGTTTCTCTGAGTATTCAGGCATGCCTTTCCGTTGTCAATTTTTACAACTAAGTATGAAGACTATGTTTTGGACTCTATATACGGGCTCAGTTTGCGTTAGGTCTCGGTTTTTATTTATGTTTTCACAGTGCTCTATTTTCTTTTAAGTTATACAGCTTATTAGGTTACAGTTTGTTGTAAACTGTTACACTCACCCACTTCTGTTCCAAACTTCTGTTCTAATTCTTCTAAGAGAACTGTTGAATATGCCTAATTCAGTTGTGCTTGTTACAAACAGCTATTCGTGATCTTGTTGTTGAATCGCTAAAGCTTTCCTTGTAGATTTTCTAGAACTAATTATGAAAACTGAGTTTCTGACTGTATATACCGGTTCAGTTTTTCTGAGGTGTCGCTTTTTATTGTTATTGTGTGCACAGGGTTGGTTTTTGTTTTCAGTATTTGTGTAGTTGTATCTCAATATTTGCTTTCGTAGGCAGACATATCTTGTTTTTGTGAATTTTCTGTAACTAAGTCTAAAAACTAGTTTTGTGACTGTATCTAACGACTTTCCTGTCAGACTTGACTTTAGAGATGGTGTTTTCTGGAGTGTGCTTTTTATGTCAGTTTCTGCCAATGGAAATGTCGTGCAATGAATTCTCTATCTTTTGCGGTCACGTAGTTGTCTCTGCTGTCGTCTTTTTCTCTGTCATCTGTATTCCGATTCTGGAGTTGTTGTGATGGTTGATCGAACATCAGCTATGGGAAAATATTTTTTGTAGTTGTTTTGTAAATGTGGTGTCAGTAGTGATTGAAGATTGGTGGCTGTGCGGTTATCTCGCTTCTTTTCTTGATCTTTCTTGATAATACTGTTTTTTGTTTTTTATGTTTATAATGTGTATCTTAGAAGTTGTGCTAGATGTTGCACCCCTGCATTGTTGTTGTGATTTTTTAATACGGAGTATGGAGTCCATGGTCGTATGTATTTTTATTCATGTTAGGGTTTAGCTAATAAATCTTGTATCTTTGAAATGTGTTTTGAATATCTTTTTTTGCTAAATAATAGTCTCGCATTTGCTTGTCTGCGTTTCACTTTTACAGTGTTACTTCTGCTGGGAAGTTAGAACGTGTACTCAGCAACGAGGAGTTGTAATTCTACGTGAAATGCAAAATAGGTAGTTTTGGTCTTTGGCGGAGCTCTGAGCTCTCGTGGTTATCATCTCAAAATTACTTTTAATTTTTACTGAGAGAGTTTTTCAGCGGCAGTTCTTATACTTTTTGCAATCAATCTTGAAATGGCGACTTGCAAAGGCAAAATTCTGTACTAATTTAGTTATACGGTTGGGAGACTCGTGTAGACTGAGTTAAGTTTTTTAATTGTTCAATTAATTTACAACTTCTGTACAATTCATTCTTGCTACACACTGTATGAGTCCTCTCAAGACGATACATCCTTCACGACTGCCGATTGATGGGAAAAAGAAAGCTTCGTATAGTGAAGGGTTTTATCAGGCTCTAAGTGCGGAAAAGGTCTTACATCTGCAGAAGCCAGCAACATTTATTGGCTACCTTAGGTTTTGTATGAAAGGATATGTTAGGAGACGTTACTTTTACAGAACGTTGTTGAAGGCGTTCAAAAAGAATAGGTGTTCAACGGATTCCTGGCGCGTAGTTAGCAACAAAGGTAAAAAGTTGGCAGATAACGAGGAAATTCTACGAGAGCAAAAATATCAAAAACACTTCTCTGACTTTCAGTCAAAATTTGTTTAACAAAATGCAGAAATTTCGTCACATGCTTTGCCGCTACACGATATATACAAATAAATGGGCTCAGTTAAAACAGCTTAACGTTTTTCCACTGTTCTTCAGTTTTCTTGGTTCCCCCCAATAACAAATTTCCCTCAGCAACCACAATTAATGTTCCTTATTATGTAAGTTGTGAAAAATATTTCATGAAGGAAGTCTGTCATTTACCAAAACTTCCAAGATGATAGCAAGAATACGCGTATTTACACTACTGTGACCTTTATCAGATTCCTGTCGCTTTCGCCTGTGTTTCACAACAGCATCAAGAACCTTCCTTAAAAACATGAGGAAAGGTGTAACAAGAAAAAGTACTGACAGACATGAAGAAGAAATGAATAAAAAAACTTTGTTAAACAGACGTATGACAACCTTCAAGAAGTGTATTAGATGGTTAGGCTGTTCAAAAACAAATTATGTTCCAAAGCAAATAATAAATTAACGAATATGAGTAGTTTTATTTCTAAATCGCTGCTTACTCTGCTGTTTACTCTAAAAACTAAAAGTTTGTCAACGAGTTAAAAGATTGTATAACAATATTTGGAGTGATATTAGACTGCAAATTTGCATAAGAGTCACTGAGTAAACACTGTAACTAGCGCCCGTGTCCGGGTTAGGCTTTGGTTTTCTTTTACCCGTTATAACACTATAATCGTAAATTTCCAAAGACTTCCAGAATTCATAGACATCATCAAAAAATACGTCGCTTTGTTCAGGATTTGGACGAATTCGTAAATTTATTGTATTATTTTTGCTCGTTGCTTTCTCCCAGGTGACATTTGTGGAAGGATCACTAAATTTTTTTTTTTT